GCCTGAAGGAGTGATTGTGCTAGATTTCTCTCGTAATTTCGCTCGTCAAATCATCAACCGAAATTCGTAAGTAGGTAAAGTGCCACTCACTAACAGTAATTGTGGAGTGCGGGCGTAAATTTCCTCAGGCTAATAGATCGTCACGACGCATGGATCTGTCGACGCCGATATTTTAGTGCTTTAGTTAATTCGCGCTGACCATTCCGCCATTTCTCCGAATTGACGTGAGTGGTAAAGTGTAACTGAAAAGTATTTGGTGCTTCGGTTACGTCGCGCTGACTATTTCGCCATTTCTTCAAATTAAGCAAGTGTTAAAATCAAACGGAGAGTATTTTAGTGCTTCAGTTACGTCGCGCTGACCTTTTGCCGTTTCTTTAAATTTGTCGTGAGTGTTAGGAGAGGGTAACAGGATTTAGATAGTGGACTAGGGAATCACGGTTTCCAAGTCAAGGATCGGAAGTATAAACCATCGCAGATTTAATTCGCCGGGACGTATAGATCCGTACCACTGCGTATTGAGTTGTGTCGAGTTGCGCTGACTATCCGCTAATTAGATCGCCCTTGTACACGTTGTTTGAAATAAATGCAAATTAAGAGTGACCAATTTTCATAATTTTGCGCCTTGTTACCCTCCCTTCCCTGCATGCTGATATTATTTTCAGCCGCGGACGGTTAATATGGGAAAGTACTTGTTCGCCAGTTTCGGTTCCGACATTAGGTAACATACGCGCGAATTCGAACGAATCTCCGGCCCGAGGTAAAGAGTCACAACCTGAGCTGCCAGCATTTTACGGATACGAGAGGACGGATGGAATCAAATTCACTAACGGCCTGAATCCAAGGAAATCGCGGGTCAACGTACACTCGCCCACTCTCCGCAGTCACACCGTGAGCGAACAGGGATACGTCGCGATATCCTGGCCCTATCCCCGACGATCGCCTTAATTAGATACGGCGGCTTGGCGCCCTAATAATTAATCGGGGAAAAAGGGCTAATCAGGCCTTGTGGCGGAAGTGCTTCGAGTGTGCGGCTAAGACCCCCCGAAATTCCCCGCCACAAAAGAAACAAAGTTATTAAAATATGATATCTATTATATTGATTTTATTAAATTATTTTGAATAGTGCAACAGGTAAGGTAAAAAGAGTAATGGAGTTTTCTTAGTATTGAGAATGCCATTTCGCATAGTAGACATCAAAGCTGTCAGAATGAAATACTACAATTCCTACTTCGTATTTAGATGCAAGATCTGCTGTGGGTATAGTACCGATACTTTATCCATACAGAATTATGTTTTCTAGACTTATTTCATGGCAGCCCTAAAAGCTTGCCAGGCAACATCGATATTTGCATACAAACTTTATTTCGTTGATTTGCTCCAAGATACTCTATATCCAGAGTTTCCATAGTAGTCTTACCCGAATATACTGCAGTCAATTCGGCAGCCAAGATCCAGATAGAAGCTGAATATCGGTCTGAGTTTAAGAGCGCTGTCATTACGAGTAGGAAAGAGAATAGTGAACATGACCGTAGCAGAGCACACACACCTTACAAAGAGGCACGTAATGCGGTTGCCTCTGGAAGTCTTTTTTACATTTGGATGTGATAATGTTATGATGTTATGCACCAATTTCAAATCAACCAACAGTCAAAACTCAAGAGCACGGTAAATAGATGTTCAGACTAGAGGTATAAATGGCAATTTATCACTAAAAATTATATCATGAATTACAATATCATATAATCAGAGGAAAAGCGTCTATATAAGACAGTTCATATTCACGCAAAATTATCGATTTAAATTGCTCTTGCAATAAAAAAGTGAACATTATCGAATATGTAAACCACAACGCAAATTTTAATCCTGAAAATTTTATTAGGTGCAGTAGAAGGAAAAGAGCTGTATGGCCTACTGAGCTCAGTAGAGTAAAAATTTTACTACCCCTTGCATCAGTTGACGCAAGAACACTGTAAGTACATTATAGAATAATTATTTATTTAATGCAACAGTATCTATTTCAAATTGAAATATTTTCTCACTACAATAGTATGATAACGGTGAGGATGGTCTTCTCATATATATGACAACCAAACGTGAATAGGAATCCTCTTGCACTAAACCATCAGTCATTGAGTCAACTTTAATATTGTGTAACCATTCAAGTTTTTTCCATATCACAATCAATGATTTATCAGCACCTGTATATAAAGCCCATGAATTTGCAGCCTAGTATAAATGAAGCAAACCCCTTTTAAATGGAAACAGTCTTGACAAAACAGTTAAAACTTAAGAACTTTGCAATTAACCATTCCATTTTTTCAAACTATAACGAAGATAAAACCTAATCAGATTATTTTGGAAATTCGTAAAAACTGGTCGTTCTTAGAAAAATAAAATGAAAATAAATGTACTTACTGATGCCATTTCTCAGCACTTCTTAAGTCTGTGCTCATCTGTAAACTATATTTAACTTTATTTATGAGGTTTCGTTTACTCATAGTAATATAACTACTACCAAGAGTAAAAATCACTATAGGCAAGACAATACGTATATATAACGCAACCTAGATTATTAGAACGCATGAACGAAAATTAATTATTTCTTAACAAACAGAATCGACAATTGTAAAAAGAATTATATAGAAAAATTACGCGAAATTTTTGCTTACGATAAAATAGATTTATTTCTGTATAAATTGTATTAAATCACCACGCAGATACAATTATCGATGATTTGTAAGTGATCAACTTTTATAATATTTTTATCAATGAAAATGAAATTGTGCGGAGTTACATTTTTGCTATTTTTGTTAATCACACGTAGTTTTTTATCATTTATTTTTATTGATTTTCATCGATTTCCCGCTGAGTTCCTTTATCCCTTACCTACCCACTACTGGACAAAAATAATTTTATACAAAACTGTTTGAGCGTGTGACTATCTTTTTTAACAATGATAAACATATTGCGCAAGCAAAATAATTAGTTATACTATCTTTGCTAATGATGCGCAATTTTTCTGTATTTTGTAAAAATGATTGTCGTTAATTACCGGCTGGATTACGGAAGCTATACTGTCGCTGCATGAAATTGCACCTTAAGGTACTTAAGCATCGATCGTCCTATCGTCCTTTCCAGAAAAATCGACCTTCCGGCGTTAGGAGGGCGGGAGCGGAAAGGGCAAACGAGGAATCTGCATCAGTTATCCACGCGGTGCTTGGCGTTTGTACATAATTATTTTTTTACGATTGTTGATGGAAAACGTTTAACATTTATTTTTTCATCTTCTTGTACCATATATTCGTGAGAGTAAATACATCTTACAATTTATGTGTAATATTTCGAAATAAGCCGAAACAGTTAACGCAACTTATGTAATTGTTTTTAAATTGTAAGTACATCTTTTAAATATTGTTCTAAAGTTAATTACATTTTATAGTAGCTTGGTATGAATAAAGTATGTTTTAGTACTTAAAATTTATATAGTATGGTTGCAATATATTACTTTAAAAAATAAATAAATCTTTTTGAGGTTAAATATGTACTTTTAAGTTGATAATTAATATAGTTAACTTCAAATAGTTTAAGGCAGAATATGTGTATAGAGGTTATAAATAATGTGCTCACTTTCTGAAAAAAATGACGTACCTTATCCAACAAACATCATTAGAACATCGTTTGTCTTTTTTTATACGTGACCTAATATATTAGTGTAACTAATAGCCGTAATTGTAATTGAGTTTTTTTCGTTATATTTATATATAATTTTAAATTTAGGATATTCTTTTTGACAAAAATACAGTGATAAAGGACAAGCACGGGGGTTTACTTTATAATTGAAAACCCTATATCTACATTTATTGGCATTTATTGATTATAAATACATATTTATGCTATTGTTTTTTTTGGAAATGTAGAAATCTAGATTTATATGCTTTGCTTCTAAGCCCTCGCTTCAAGATAGAAAATGCTCGTGCATTCAATGTGTGTATGATTAAATCTATAAAATGTTTTATTTTTTGTGGAATATTTCTACCAAATTTTCTTGGCAGTTCTGTACATAAAATCAATGTACAGAATGAAATATTAGCCATATTAAAACTAATAATTTTGTTTAAAGAAAAAAGGAACATAAAATTTTCATGGCATTCTTTTTGTATGATTTGTATTATTTATTGATTTCATGTACTCTATTATAAATTATAACATTTATTAAAGTGGCCACATATGGTATTTTATCAATTGTTTCAAGAATATAAAAAAATATATATAGAATAAGAAACTTTCCTAAAATTATTTTATAAAGCATCACTGTTTCAATCCATGTTCCATATCCATATCCATGATCCATGATCCAATCCAAAAAAAGAATGGACACTAATGGAAAAGGCTGATTTTAAATTAGAATGCAAATGCTTTTACATATTTTTTAATAGCAAAATTAATTAAAAATGTAACAATAATCACATGTATCAAAAATTCTTTCAGATTTAAGTAGCTGTTAAAACTGCAATGCATCTCACACGAACTGCTCAGTATGCTCTAAAATTATCGCTCACACAGGTAAGAAATTTAAATTAACATATTTAGCAATTTATGCTACAATATTTTCTGTGAGTTATTTAACTTTATTTTATTTGCATTTATATATTCATTATTTTATCTCATGCAACTAAGTATAACCATAATAGAGTTTAAAATGATCTCTTTAAAAAGTAAATTTATACACATTATGCATAATATCAATAAACAAATAAAATATTAGGTAGCATGAATAGTGATTAAAATTAGAATACAAATGCCAAATTAACTAATGAAAACTTGAAATTGTTATTCAACAGACTGCAGGGTTTACTTCACTTTATCGAAGAAACAGTGTTGATCGTGGCACAGCCTCAGCCCTTGTTCTAGCAACAGCGGGTCTATCTTTGAGTATGTTTTCATTGGTTCAAATGCAGTCTGCCGCACCATCTCACAATCGTCTTCGTCGGTTTCAATAGGGAAATATGATCAACTATTTTTATTGATTGAACTACCTGAAGCAAATGTCTGACATGCAACGTAATCTTTGCTCTTAGGGCTTGAACGTAAACTAAGTATATGCAATAGAACCAGACATGATTACTAGAGCCAAGTATTTCTTGCTCGATAATATAATTTCAATTCTTAGCTACTGACACCGCCCTACTCAGATTGTGTATACTACGTAAATGATATGTTGATTAGTTTCCCTCTAAAACAGTTTTTCCATATGGTTTGCTAATTCGGTAAATTGTCATGCACAAGATTCATGGTACCGATAACTTTTGTTACATAGAATATAGCACATGGTTCAGAAAAAAGAAGGCTATGAAATAGGAATTATTCTATCATTCTTTGAAAATTTTAAACTAATAACAAAATTGTTTATATTAACATTTATTTTTCGTTTTACTTGAGTTCCTTGCAGCAATAAAAATCACTATAGTGTCATGTATTCATAAAGTAACTATTGTCAATTTCCCCGAGTAGTACTTACAAAATAGCAAAAAATGGCAGGTTAATTAAAAAAAAATACTTTGATGTTAATTATAAGTACCAATGAAGAAAAAGAAGAATAATGCAATTTATATAATATTCTTTCCTTAACAAATGTGCTGCACGATTGCTTCTACTTCATTATTTTATTACACATATTCGAGTGAAGTTCTACAATTTCATTGAAAAATATCTTCAACACTGCCTAGTGGATACGTATAAATATTTTGAAGCTATTCAAAGTTCTATTTTACCATCACATGTTCTAGAACTTGAAAAGTAATGGTAACACATGTTTCTTTCAAATAAAATGCAATAGCTTAACTTAAAAGTAGTTCTCTATTTTTTTATATTCACTTAATATTCTAAATAATATTTTGCCGGCGCGTGCGCGCGCGTGTGTGTTTGTGTTTTACCTTTAGGTACTCTGAATACACTTTTATTTTTATTTTACTAGCGACATCGGACGCGCTTCGCACGCTTCCATCTACTTTTTCATTTCTTGTCATATCAATCAACATATTTAACGCAATAAATCCCTTTTTTCAAAGGTATATTTTTATATTTTTGTTACAAAACACATATAATAGTGGAAAACATGTATTAGTAAAACAGTTCCGTGTACTCTAAATTCATGAATAATTATATCGAAAACGGACAAAAACAATCTCTATAGTTCTTTTCAGCCATGTAGGTCAAATTACTATTAAACGTTTATCCTACTCTTTTAATATAGATTACGAGATTACAAAATTTTTTTCAAACTTAAACGTTCAAATATCAGATTATCAGAATAATTCCATAGCATAATAACCTCTCGCTTTTACCAAACGATTTACTCGCTAGTAGTTTTATAAAATGAATATAAAAATAATAACAATGTAGCATACTTTTTTAATTTTCATTATCTTCAAAATTATTCGTAACAATTATGATAAAATGAATTTTTTTACTCAAAACACAACTTGAAATCACATCAACATGCATATTTTGCTGCCATAACAGCATATCACATAACTATATCTTAGCCAATTAGATCATGAATTAAATGCTTCAATATGGCATCCATCACCTTTTTATAAGAGGAAAAGTATCAAAAATTCAATCCTATATTTCACAAAACTATGTCACACGCAATTATTTTATTTATTGAAAAAATTAACGTCATGTACTGTTTTAAACATCTGAGTTAAAAAAATTTTAATCGGGACTTGTTTGATTTTTGCAATTTTTGCTGGAACTTAAGTGAAACATAATTTAACGGACTCAACTTTTCATCTTAAAAAGAAAATTTCTTACTATAAAACTAATATAAAAAAATGAAAACAATAAAGTATAGCCGTGCACGTATTTCTAAACAATTAACTTAACAAAAAAAAAGTAATGTAGCTTTCAGACTACAGGAAATCAAAATTGTTAAATTAAGTGACGACTCATTAATAATATTACGTATAACTAGTATATTTTTCTTCAACATTTATTCAATACTATTTTTATTAACATACTTAATAGACGTGATAAATCAATTGGATTGAAATTGAGGTGAAAGGAGTCTAAATTACTTTGTATAATTCAATCTTTCGACATTTTGATAGAAATATATAGAGGTAAGTAGGAAGTAAGGTAGAGTTGGAGATGTCACTTTCCGGATAAACTATCAAAGTATATTTGTCATATTCTTCTGACATGTATTTTTAATGACTGTAAGCAAATCTTTATGGTATACTAACGCGTGCAGACGTATTTTTATGCTTTTAGTTTTTAAAAAATTTCCTACTTTACCCCACTTACCTCTACTATTTATAAATATTGAACAAGAACTTCTAATTTAATTCATAATGTGCTGAATAAAAAATTGCAAAATTGTCTTATCATGATATTTTTATAGAATACTTTTTACAAACCAAGATTTTTTTATGATTTTACAGTTCTATAAAATTTGTTATCTAAATAAATAGATTAGGCAAGGGAAATATATAAAGAAAACTGTAATTGTATCGTCGACTTCACTTATACATTTATTTATAACTATAATACAGTCTCACACACAAAATTCGTAAACTGTAATGACTGCACAGTTGGTCTCGCATATTCAAAAATCACTCTACTGTTTTCATAAGATGTACTTTTTCACAAAAATTAATTGTGGAATCATACCACGACCGACGAGCTGCTCGATTCATAGTTTTAATAAAAACCTTGACTGTAGATGCTGCTTAAATTAATAGTTGGGGTTGTTTAGTTACGAAAAGATTCTTGCATCAATAGAACAAATTGAAGTTAGAAAAAGATAACTGATGAGAATGCCCGTAAAAAATATAAGATACGCGTAACAATTACTTTATTTTACAAATATACAAAGCTTTGGTTGGTTTCATTTATAAAACTTTGGTAAGGTTTTCTGTGTGTGTGTGTATGTGTGTGTGCGTATGTGCGTGCGTGCATTCTAGTTGTGATCTACTGAGTAGACCTGTTAACTCGATATTATAACCACGACTTTTTTATTCTCTAAGTTTAGTGTATATTTGTAAGTTTACGTGGTCAAATATAATAGTCGAAAGTCCAAACTTTGCATAGTTGATTAACCAATGTTTTCAATAAAAAAAATAATAAAATAACGCAGAGGAATTGTTACAATTATTATTACATATATTTTTATAGGAAAGTGATATATTAAAATTGGAACTTTACTTGACCTACCAAGCATCAGATTCTCTTGGCAGAGCTTTGTATTAATTCCTTGTTGAAATTATCATGCCATCTATAGTTTTGTCGATTGTCTAAATTTTCAAACTTTATATTTTGTGAATGAGCCGATACAGTGATTGTAAGTTTCCGTACTGAAAAAACACATAAAGTACCATTCAAGTGCGCCATTTGAAAAATAAATGTAAAATTGAGAAATAGAGTACAAGTTAGTGATAAGACAGTGAACAATTGATATTTATTCCGTGGAATCGAGCTGCCCGACGATTTCGGGATGGGTTTTCACGAGCTTGATAGTTGTACTAGCATCGATAATTAATAATTTTTTTAAGCTAACTTGCTATCGTGTAATTGTTTCTATCAAAAAGAATTTTATCTAAGTCCGCAAAACCAAACAGACACAATTTTAGCGATATGTTATACAGGCAATGTCCGAAAATACTTCGTATAAAATCTTGAATGTCAAGAAGACTCTGCTCACATTTTATTCTCGTGCAAGCCCAGCCCGCAGCTTAATCTAAAACAAAGTATTCTAAAATCTACAAAAAATAGTTGAAAAAACAATTGACGAAAGAAACGTCCGCTACACACGTAAATAACATGACGGACTTAGTACAAAGTTCATTAACGTACTCGCTGTCGTACTCTTCTTTCTTTTACATTTTCATTAATATTACTTTTCTCCCCTCTCGCCTAATAGCTGTACAATCTTTACTTAATAAGAAATGAATTAACGAAACTCACATGAACGCGTAATATACAATGTACAAAGGGTTTACTGTCTAATTGTTAGTAAGAGTGACGTTAATAGAAATTGTTATCTTAAAAAACAATTAGTTTGTTTATAAGTTCCTCATCTACAAATATGATCTAATCATTTAAAGACTGATTGAGATAAAAACGAATAAGAACCATTGCATATTTCATTGTGAAAAATCTCTTCACCACGTTATTGTACACATAACATTTTCATGCAAGCCTAGCCTCTCATTCATTTTGCATTTCATTGAACGTGTATCTTGCTGGCTTCCCTTCTTAACGTAATTTTTAAGTTTTAAGTCATTTTTTTTATTATCATTATTTTAACATTTCACACACGTATCTAAAGCACAGCGCAATCGATAATACAGGGAATCACGATATATTTCAGTATGCTATAACAATTTTTGAATAATTTTATTCCAATTGCATGATGCGCAACTCAATGTTAATAACTACTACGTAATTTATGCCTGAGCTTATTTACATACCATTGTTATAAGTCCATCTTTTAAAATTAAATCATCATTGCATACCTTTTTCTTCACAAAGCGTGTTTTTATATTCTTTTCGGACGTATTCAAGCTGATTCTATTTCGTTAAATTAATAATCTTGATAAATAAATACTCAGTTATAAAAACGGTCATATAAAAATTAACACGAATTCCAATGTAACTAACTTCGAGAAAGAATAAAAAATGACAAGCCTTGTGAAAGTCAATCAAATATTGCGTCAATCCTTTTATAGATAGACATTTTTTTCAACAAATTTTTTAGACAAAAAATATCTTCAGTTATATAAACGATAATTCAATAGCTTGATACGTTGGATGCGTTAAAAACTGCAAGCTTACCAAAAAATTTGAGATTTCTCAGTTTCATCGATTGTATTAGAAAAAGTTTTCTATTTCTTAACCCTTTTTCTATATTGTTTTCGTAAATAACATTGAATTGTACCGTATAAAAATTTTAATAAATAAGAAATATCCAACATGCTCTATTGTAATAGTTTATATAAAAATGAAATTTTATTTCAAACATGTAACAAAAAGTAAAATTGCCTCTATTTTATGATAATTATTTTACCATTTTTCTTATAAATACACCATATCAATCACGTCCAAATGAAATGTTTAAAGATTAACAATATTCAATCTCTCGTTAATGTTTAGTTCTGGATTTATAAATTTTAATAAAAAAATAAGTATGCACGCTATAATATCGTAACATAAAAGATGTTTCTAATTTAATTTTCTTTTACTCTTTGGAAAAATATGGTAGTCATTTGTTTAGATTGATAGTCATATTACGTATATTAGAATAAACTCGTGCCGTCACAGTCTTGTTAAATCTTAATTTTAATTTTCCTGATAACAACTTCATTATTGTACGTAGAATTGTAAAATGCGGCCCTTGAAAGTTATGAAAACTTTCAACAAGAAAAAATTTGGTTTATTTTATTACATCAAAGACCACTGAAATCAATTCTATAACGACAAACAGTTTTATTAATTCTTTTTTTCGAACAGGCGCACATTTTCAAACGAAGCACTAGTGTCTGACAATTACTGGTCTCAACTAATGTAATAATAAAAATTTGTGCATGAATTTTAATATATATAATACAATATATAATAAATCTTTGAAGTGTACTTTTTCTGAGCTCAAAATAAACTAAAATCATACATACAAATAATCGCACTTTCTACTAACACTCAATTCTGTCATGTACACAGTAAAAAAAAAGGATTGCAAGAAATGTTTATGTCTATATGTGTATATATGCGTGTTTGACCACTCGCTAAGCTTATTACAAAGAAATCATAGTCAGTAAGAAAATTCGAAAGTAACTAGAAATTAAAGTGCTACGATCTAAAATCACAAGTAAGTGTGCATCATGTCACGGATCTCAAAATGACTTTTAATAAAGTGAACAACACTTTATTACTGTAGGTATTCGATGAATAACATTAATTTAATCCATGACAAGCTACATTACGATGTTACAAATGGACGATTTTTTCAATAATGCAAATTATCTCTTTCCGCATTATGTCAACATTAATATGAGTTGGATCTTCTGCTCGTCGCAAAAAATCAAATTTGTCCCTTGTTTATGGCAATATGCAAAATAAAATTTAAAACAAAGAGCTATTGTTCCTAATAGTGCATCTAATTTTACAAGAAAAAAAAATAGGAAAACCACATGAGTTTAGCTAAATATATGATTCAACTAACTCTTACGCACTGTGATATATATTAAGAAACAAAATAATTTTTGAAGAGACGAATATTTTGGTACAGATGCTATTGGTATCGTACAGTATAGAAAATATTCATTATACGTAAAAAATGTGTACATAAATAAGTTTACGTCATCGAATATTTGGCTACATTTAATTTTATATCAGACGTCTTTGACGTGGCATAAATATAAATGAGCATCAATGAATAGGCATTGTTAAAATTACTTTGTTGTTCAACAAAACATGAATTGGATGCGTCGGTAAAACGAAACATGTGAGTTGCACATAATATCTCCCTGATCGAGTGTTTATACATATTTTAGATATAGAGTAGTTGCATAACATACGCATGTACAGATACAGACAGAAGGTATCAGTTGAACTTGCAATATTCCGCTGGCGGCTGCTCATCGACGATCGTGAGAGGCTTTGTATTATGAAATGGCAACATTAACTGTGTCACTTGTAAAAACAGTTGTCCGTTTAACAAAAAACTACAAATCCCGGGCAATGAAGTTGATGGCCAGAGCCCAATCGAGCTGCACGTCAGAAGTGAATAGGTCGCGGTAGGCAATAGCGTTCACAAACCGAGTAACACTAGTGTTAGTTTCCTGTCTCCAGTAGATGATCGGTGTTATGGTTAAATGCAGCAGTAAGTAAGGAAATGACGAGAGGCAAATGTTCCTAGTACCTTGTAACACACTGCGACGATGAAGTTTCTGCATAGGTAGGTAGTGGTGGACGAGGAAGGTAGTGAAGCTGCATCAAATCCTGGCAGCGAGGCGTAACGAGGCGAGAGAGAATGGGCGATTAGGTTTAGGGAGGACTATGGAGGCGAGGAACTCTGAGCTGCTGACAGCGGATGCAGGCATCCTCCTCGCGTTTGCTGGCACGCTCGGTCGGTTTGTACAAAGCGGGAAGAAGAATCGAGAGCTAGCGACGTCGTACTCGGCGCTCTATGACATGGAGGAGCAGGGCAGTCGCGGTGACCCCATCTGCGTGAGTACCCTATCAAGCCACTGGAGCGGCCCATTCAGATGGAGTTCAATCCAGCAGGGCGTCGAAGTGACGGTTTGTCGACGATACTCGGCTCCCCAGCCCTTGACGAAGCTCATGCGAATGGTGCACATGCGCGTTAGCTGGTAGACTGCCTCGAAGCCCTGTGAGACCGACTGCGAGAGCAACGCGGCGAACTCTTGGTTGTTGAATATTTTGAGATTACAGCCTGCCAAGGGAAGAGAATGAGAATGATCGGCTCGAGTAACAAGACAGAGTAACGGTTGTTTGCTTACCGGGCGGTATTTTGCAGACGGTTGCCGGGTGCCAGCCGTAGCGCTGGTTGCAGTTGGGGCTCTGCACGAAGATGCTTGAATCGGAGAGGCACTCGGCGAAAACTTCACCGCCGATGTAGTAGAGGCGCACACCCTTGCCGATGTGGCGGCGCGTCTGCTCGACGACCGTATTGCGGTTAACATTGGACAACAGGCCCAGGCAGAAGCGCTCCGAGTTGCTCGGGTCTGTGAAACCGTCGACGGTGATGCTGGGCTGCGAGGCGTGAAAGGTCTCGCCCACCCGAGTGTTTAGCTCGTAGTAACTGATCGAGCACCAGAATGCCGGCTCGCAGTACATTACTGGTTGCGCGTCCACGGGACTTGGCGACAGGCGCGACAGCGACATGTTGTCATTGTGATCCATGTTGTCGCCGTCTTCGCTGATGTAGCCCGGGGGCGGGGTGTCCGCGGGCGGGTCCATCGACCCCGGGCCTGCTGGATGCGGCGAGCCCTGCACGCTACCCAGGCTTCCCACGCTCGCCGGACTTGTCGCTTGCATGCTCTGCATTGCCTGATACGAATTGCTTGAGGGCTGCTGCTGCTGTGTGTGATGATGGTGGAGGTGCTGGTGGTGGTGGTGATGGTGATGATGGTGGTGTTGCTGCTGGTGATGCTGCTGCTGAGCCGAAGAGAGCGTCGCGTGGAAGCTCGCGTTTTCGGGCACACTCACGCTCAACTCTTCAAGTGAGGTGTTGTAGCCGAGGGTTGACTCGTCACCGGAGAGGCTGTGTCGCGGCACCAAAATCGCCGGCAGTGCTGTAACGTTATAGCCGTTGGACACCAGTCATACGCTTGTAATCCAACAATCCCGTCTGTCTCTGTTGATGGTGTGTCGATACTTACTTGGTGACTGGATGCGTTGATAGTGGTAGGGATTCACGCAGACTTCGTCGCGCTTCTGACTAAAGGTGTACTCGCAATGTTCGATACCTCGGAGCTCGTGCTGCGACTGCAGATCCGGCCAGCGCCACAATCGGCAGTAAACCACGTGGGGCAGACCCTTGCCTCGGACTACTTGCAATCCGTTGTCGCCCGAGCCCACTACGCCCAGATTAGGCCTGAAACAATCATCTATTATATAATAACGACTTTTCAGTTCCCTCCTACTGTACTGCACCAATCAATCGGTTAATTGAAACAACAAATACGAGCAACTTACTTAAAGTATATCATAATTTGTCAGTGTAATTTATTACTATTAATAATTTTAACTTCTTCCTTTGTATTTACTGCAGATTCTTATGCTTAATAGTGCTAACAAATTAAAAATACAAATGTTATGAACTGAATTACAGAGATTAATTTAACGCAATTATCAGACGCTTTTTATTAATTCAACATATTAGTATCAAATTACTAATGAGAATATTTATTGATTGTAATTTTATTTATTTTTTGTGCCGTTTTAATTCTGTCAAAACTTTCAATCCATAAAAAAGTTATGACCGGATGTTGTGAAGTTAAGATAAACGCGATTGACTCATGTAGTGCGCATGTTTCTATATGAATCAACCTAATTTAACCTAATTTAATTTAAAAATGTTATTATCTGTTTTGGTTTAAATATAAATATATAAAATCATTTTATTATTTTTAATTCAATTCATTTTCACGTACATATATTATATTTTATTTAAAAAATTAATTTTTTCATTTATAAGTTTTGAGAAAAATATCGCTTCGCTCGGGCGTAAGCGCCATACGAGACAAGAATCTACTTTCCCGCACTTGTATCGTAATGTACTATTAGGAAAAGTAAAAAATGATTTCAAAATTCAGATTGTATATATCACAAAATAAATTAGAAAAACCGGCTTCAAATTTCTTTTCAGCAATTATGCGCAAAGTTATGCTTCAATTAGTCAATAATCAAACGGGACCATTTCGGAAACATAGGAGGTATGTATGTCCAAAAAGTATCCGGAATACCCATGAATCTTCGCGTCAGAACGTTTGAGCGCCCCCTGTCGGGTTGGGTATAACGGTCAACAACAAATCTTCAGGAACTCATTTGATGTCACCCTTTATGTCAAGACGTTTTCGATTGTACACATCGTGGTTTTTTTACGGAGTTTTTTGTCGATCGTCGCATTTGTTTATTACTAAAAATAACCGAAAAAGCTGAACAACGAATTCGCATCAAATTTTGCTTTAAACTTAAAAATACTTGTACAGAAACGGTTACAATGATGCACAAGGCCGTTGAAGACGACTGTATGGGTAAAAGTCGAATATGAGTGGTAAAAATAGTTTAAAGATGGCCGCCAATTTGTTGACAGTGATCCGCGCTTCGGACAAAAGCTTCGTTTTGAAATCACTCAGGACAACTTGTAAATAATTTCTGGTGATGCAAATGTACTCAAAATGATCATTACTGGTAATGATGCTTGGATTTATGATTATGATCCCAAAACCAAACAACAGTCTTCACCGTGGGAGTGTTTTGGATCGCCAAGACCGCAAAAAGCATGTCAAAGTCGAAGCAATCGCAAGTCAATGCCTTTTTTTTATTATTATGAATATGAAAGTCTGAAACGATTGCGTGACGCAATAAGACAAAAAAAACGGTCTCAACTTTGGTCAAGCGGCGATTGGCTTCTTCGCCATGACAATACGCCAGCGCATTCATCGAATCTTATGTAGCAATATTCGACAAAACACCACATCGTATAGCTTCGCCAGCCTCCGTATAGTCTCTACACAGCTCTCTGTGACTTGTTGCTCAAAGAACACCGGTTCAACAATGTAATGACAATTGAAACAAATGCGATGAGTACACTGATGACTATTCTGAAAAATGATTTCCAGCATTGCTTTAAGAAGTGAAAAAGCCGCTGAGAGTGCGTTATTCAATTAAATGGACACTAGTTTGAAGAATGTCCCTTGCCCAATGTCGAAGAGTAACACCAGTGTGGAGAAATGAAGGTATTCCGAATACTTTTCGGACACACCTCGTATCCATCCAACTAAGTTCGCCTTCATTAAAATCGTTTCGTTTTTGTTTCATTATTATTTATATTTATATTATTTTTTATAAAAAGATTTTATAAGGGGATAAAACTGATAAACGATGAATTACATTACGATCATGAATGATAAATTAAAGATTAGATTTGTTATATTTCCTTGCTAAAAACAAATTCAATTAAACTGAAATAAAAACTCAACTAAAATCAACTTAAATTTTATTTGGACCAATCAGATCACGAATAAAATGCTTCAACATAGCTTCCGTCACTTTTTTATAAGAGTATTAGAATTATTCATATTGTTATTAAACTTATTTTATGAGGGGATTCTATTATAAATATATTCTTGAAACTAAATATTTAAGTAAACTGGCATTATAACTTACTTATCATTACATTGACTACATTTCATATTTCTTTATAAAAATTCTCTTATATGTTTGTAATAATATATTTATGATTCAATAAAATACTTGGAATAATGATTTTTATTTTTTACATGAAATACTGGTGTCTAGTGTGCCTTATGCGCTAATCTTTTTTGTTTTTTTTGACGTTCATTTTAAACCACGAATATATGGATCAAAACTTTCTCGTGATTTGCAATGATACAAAGCCATCGATATTATTTATATTGATAAAAAATATTGATACTCATAATTTAAAAATATTATCAATGTAAGTTTCAAGTTTTTATATTCTGAATTTATGCATTTAAAAATTATTAAAAAGTTTCAAAAACATAATAAAAAATGTAATATAAGTTATAAAAATGATGTAAATAACAGACTTTGTTAGACATTTGTAGTAGTAATAAGTGTATTTTCAGACTATTTTACGCAATGAATAAGCCGAAATTAATGTAAAATATTTTATCGTGATAATACCGATTTATAATGTTTTACTGTTTATTTTGTTTATTCGAAGCTTTCATGTAAGGTACTTAAGTAAAGTTTTGTATAAAGTAAAGTTCATTTAAATGAATGTGTGTAATCTTCTCTTTATAACCTTACGTAAAAATAACTTAAAATCGTTTTTTTTTTTAATAATTAATAATTGAATCACGCAGTTTATATTAAATTCATGCCAAGTATACTGATGCATTTTTCGATCTTTTAATTCTCTTTGAGTATCTACATTAATCTTTTATGAGCATAATACACACGCGCGCGTGCATGCGATCACGTAACAGCTTATCACGTGACTGTCAGTTATCCAATCAGATCACGAATAAGCTCGCTTCACTATGTTGGATTCTTTTTTGAACAAGCTAGTTTTATGTGCTTTTCGCGCACTTTTCTATGTTTTTCTGTTATTTATTATATTATTTTAAACTTTTACATGCCAACTTGGAGATTCTAATGGGCTCGAATAAGTCATGCTATTTAAATTAATCGTGTGCTCTTTGTTGTCTCTATGAAAATACTCATGAATATTCTTCAAATTTAACGAGGTTAATATATTGTGATAATTAGTTTCCGTTGCTTACATGCTTCTTAATTTACAATGTAAAAAAGATAAAAATATATTATTCTCAATTTTATTCTATTTTTTTCTCTTTCCACCAAATTTTCATATAACAATATTAATTTTGGTTTCACAGGTAAAAATAAAATTAATGATTTGTAATTTTTATTTCAAAACACATCTCATGTTCTCAAAACAATTTATTAACGGCATATTTTCATTATTGCAGATTATTATTCATGTTAATTATTCAAAAATTGATTTTATTGCTGAAATATAAATCTCATACTTCTAGATATATAATAAATATTCTAGATATATAACAAATATTTCAAAGTATACCAAAATTCACAATTTCGCGTTTTTTAAAACATCAACCAATCGCAGCGCTGGATTTTTTTAAGATAAGAAGAAAATATATAAAAATATTTAAAAATAAAAATAAGAAAATGATAAGAATAGGATAGAACCGTCAGCTACACCTAATAATTTAATTTTGTTTATTTTATTCAACATATTGGTTCATGACATCAAGTTTTCCGTAGGATGTATTCATATCAACAGATATATTATTTTAATTTAACTTTTTTTCGACAGTTTTTTTAATTATTGATTCGTAATCATTTGGAGAATTTGTTTACATGTATAAATTAAATTTCAAAATTATTATTTATTTAAAATAAATTAACGACGCCGAATGCATCGAAATCAATTCACAGAATTTCATATGAAATATTAATTTACAATTCTTTTCAATGTTGATCATATTTATCCATAGGTAAACTTTACTATAAAGATATTCAATACATTCATATGTCCAATAAATAAATGTAATTGGAGTTCATTGAGAGTACTTTATCGTGTTTTTTTAAAGTTAGGCCATTGAAAGAATGTGGGAGTCATTAACACTTCAATGCCTACAAATTATTATAATTATTTGTATGAATAGATATTAAATACCTCAGTCTATTATTATTACGGATTTACTCATAACTGTGACCCACATGGCTACATTCAATCAATCAGATCACGAATAAAATTACTTTACTCAGCATCACTTTTTCATACAGGAAAATAAAAATATGTAGGATTAAATACACTTTGTGTGCTCGTATTTTCTTTTTCATTTCTTATTGTTATATTAATTACCATTTTAGTATAAATTACTTTTTTCAAAGGTAGATTTTTCAATATTTTTACAAAATACATAGCACAGTGGAAAAATGTGTATTATTGATGAAACATTTTTTCAAATTCATGATTTATCATATCGGAAACTGTAATAAATTTAGTCTTTTACTAGTTTTTTCTCAAGGGGTTAAATAAATTATTACACTTTTATCCTACTTTTTGAATAAATATTGTAACATTATAACCTTTATTTTAATGTTACACATTCAAAAACTAGATAATCGATTACTAATAGAAAATATTTAGAACAACTTCAACCTACATTCTTTGTACGAAATGATTTATTCGCTGTTAGTTTCATAAAATGAGTGAAAAAAACAATAATATTGTAGCCTACTTTTTTTACTTTCATCATTTTCAAAATTATCGACATCTAAAATTATGATAAATTACGTTAAATTGAACTTTTATTACTAAAATCCCAACTCGAAACCATATCTACAGGTTTATTTGCCACCGCATAACAGTATATCACGAGACTATATCTCAGTCGATCAGATCACGAATAAAATACTTCAACATGGTATCCGTCACTTTTAGGACATTATAAGGGATACAAATACTAAAGTTTACAAAATCAATAAAAACCTTTTGTCTATTTAACAGCTCCATATAGTTTATGAAACAGCCCGCGCTGTAAAATGAAAAGTATATGTTTAAATGAAGAGATGGCTCTGTCAATTTGATAGTTATGCATTTGTTATGATAATCATAAGATTTGATTATCGCATTTTAACAGTACGAATTTTGTTGTTTCATCCAATATTTTTTATAAGTGCACGTATATATAGACTCAGAGAGAGAGAGAGAGAGAGAGAGACAGAGAGAGAGAGAGAGAGAGAGAGAGAGAGAGAGAGAGAGAGAGACAGAGAGAGAGACAGAGAGAGAGAGAGACAGAGAGAGAGAGACAGAGAGAGAGAGAAAGTGAGAGAATGAACTGTCACGTAATCATTTAAGTATGGAGTAACAAAAGGTGTTTCGATGGGTGCCAGTTGTACTTGAAGAAAAATATATCGACACTAGTACGTTTAGAAGAACAGTCAAACAATGTTTGAAACTGAGTAGTTAGTGCGATTATGAAGCAAAATATAAGTTGAAAGTGGAATAGAAGGAACGACGGAGAGAACTGCTTAAGCCACCATTGAGCCAAAGAGGCGGTTATGTAAATTACTAATCATAGTAATATGTAGCGACGACACCGATGGAATGGCTTTAAGCGAGTAAGAACTGTCACGTGCAAATAGATATATAGTTAATTGAAAGATAATCATAAGATAGAAGCGTTGCTAAACAAAGCTTAGATGCACAGTTGGCCGCTGACTACGCAGAGCTCAGCAAGTGTAGCGCCAATCCGAGAATAAACTTGAACGCTAGAGCTCGCGAGCTTACATGCAGGAATGTGGCTTGACTACAGCATCAACACCGTCAGCACCGCTGTATTGCTGTGCAGCCAGAAACCAGAGACATTTCATTGAAGAACTCGAGACAGGACTAAGCTGCTTGACCGTCTTGACCAGCACAAACTTAATTCACTTTTATTCATCGGAGATTTCACCCCCCCCCCTTCCCGCCCCCGTGATAATACAGCAACTGCTTGCCTCGACTACGCCACAACATGTGCACAAGGTTAACGACCCGCAGCGCCACCGCCGTCGCCGCTTTCAGACGCTGCGCTAACAACCCCAGCGTAAGCCCCACCAGCGCCACCTCCTCTCCATCACCTGTTACAGTGCCATTCCTGCCGCCAACTCTATCTAATAATACCACACTAAATGCTCAGCAATCTTCGATTTTTTCGGCCCGTTTAGCAATCAATCCACTGCACCCGTCGCGCCACGCGCAAGGGCCCATGGCGTCGTACAATCACTGTTATTTTCACGGCAAATCCGACTTAACTTTATCAGCTGCTGACTTACTGCGGTAAGAAATGAACCAATGAGCTGAGATAGCTATACTTACATCTTGATCACTCAATCGTTTAACGATCCTGGGATGCAACAAGTTGCACGATCACTAAAAGCTTCGAAGTTCGTGCGTAATCTTGGAATCCAACGCTATTCAATTCTCGATGATCATTTATTTCTCGTTCGTATTCGTTGGATTTGCAAAAGGTGCGGGTAGGGAAACCATATATAATAACATTCGCATGCTAGAGATAAATATAATAAAATGCGCCGCTTTGCACGTTTCAAAATTACTTTTATTTCAAATTAAATCAAAGCAATATTATAAGTATACTAGTGAATCGAAGATTGTGACCGTTTCCACATAGAAAATTAGTGCAAGCCGTGCAAGAATATTATTAATAAATTTAATGCGTATCTAATGGATCGATTAATCCGCGAATTGATAAAACGCGACTTGAGTCTGTGAAGCACAGCCGATAGACATTGGAGTTGATGATGAAAATCGACAATAACAACTAGAATAGAGAAAGCAAGAACAGTCTCGCGTCACCGGAAGAAAACAACTCGCATGGCGGGAAGAAGCAAATAAAGCGAAAACGTAGAAGGCGCGTAGCAAGCAAAAGAACAAAGGGGCTCGAATTTAAAGATAAGATAATACGCAGTGACTTGGTCGATTAGACAGGGCAGTGTCTCTAGGGATAGATAGGGGACTTCTGAGGCGCGTTAACGCAGCTTTCAATCGATTAAAGATTTAGCAGGGACAACGATAGCGACTAAAATTATGAACATCCTATCCCGGATGCTTATATTTCGATCGATACGGCCAAAACAGCCACCTACCGAACTTAGACAAGCAGCAGATTGAGCACTGCACGCCGATAAATCACCATATGTACAGCTGTGAGCGATTTTGCTATTATAGCGGATGCCGTGTATCTGTAGTTCTGGTAAGCCATCGAATCTGTATGTATAATCGCTCCAAGTAAACTTCAAACGAAAAGCACGCACGCATTGCCGATCTATTGAAGGTAACTAAGCGAAGCGACGCCAAACAATGGATTGACAAGCAAAAGAGAGGTATTCTGCAGCATTCAGTACTTTTATATTCAACTAACTGATATGTTAAGTACGATTTGTAGTGAAGGAAGCAACTCTCCAAATTAAATCATCAGCATAACTCTTATACGTACAGGTGACATTGCGCTAGAGTCTTGACAGGCATGCAGATGCAGAACCAAGTTCTCTCGAGGAAGAAGAGCGTATCGTTTGGTTTGACGTCGTTTCCAACAGTTAAACAATCAAGTTTATCGTAAGCGTTTGAGGCATGTAAAGCGATGTAAAGAGCCTGAAAATGGAGGCTATTAGCAAACGAATCATGCTGCACAGCTGACACTGCGCCACAGGCAAGCCGGCTCTACATGCAACTACCCTTTTTCCCGCACCTCGTATTTATCCACTTTCCAATTTCACGCCAGGTATTCGCTATCGCTATTCAAAGTGTAGAATCTGCATAAAAAAAGCCCGCAGTCAGTATCAGTGAAGAGAGGGGAAAAGAGTGACAGAGATAAAGAGAGAAGGGGGGGGGGGCAGAGAAAGCGAGAACGCGTGAATTTTCGGTGGAGGTTCGACTGTCGTTAAAATTAGCCGGGCATCGGGATTCAATCTCCGGGGGAGAGTCTGCGAATAAAAAGCAAGCGCATCTGCGGCCAAGCATACTAGCTAGCTGCGCCAATAATAGCGAGCGACAAGCTCCCTCTCTGCACTCGCTTCAACTAACGCCAATTCACTAGCAACCATCAAGTTGCAAGATAGCAACAGTCCCGTCCTCTCCCTTCGTTCCTCTCTCTACCAACCTACTTCATATGCTATCAGTCACCTGCAGTCAGTAAGCATTGCTTGTGCTTCTTTATTTGCCTTATACCGTCCCTTTCATCGCCGAAGCCGGCCCGAGTACATGCGTGACATCCTCACTTGATCGATTTCATTGATAACGACACCCCCGCCGCGACACACTCGCTTGTTCCATCGTTTCTCTCATCTTTATTCTTTCTTTACTATGCATGTACGACTAAATCTTGTTTAACCTTCATACGATCCCACAGGCTAATTTAACATTATATTTATTTTCTCATCGCACTTACCTAAGTCACTATGTGCTCTAAACTTTTCATGGTCCAGTCCATTTCATCATTTATTTTTTATAATTTTTTTTTCAGTAGTTCTTCAATTACTTTACCTCACAATGGTCTATTTACTTTCACTTTTTTAGCTTACTTGCCAAATAATTTAAAAATCACTGCTCGATACAGTTCAATATCTTTTATCTATCGATCCAAGATCCTTGAACACTTTTTCTATTTTGATTTTATATACACAACGGAATACCAGTTGTCTGTCTAGCAATCAATTAACTTACTTTATACCTGTGTATCTTGGTATTCAGCAATTATTTTGTGTAATACTAAATTAGATGGGTGAAAGTATAAGCACAAATATATAATAAATAAAAAGAAAAATAGGTACTATAGAGCTACTAATTGTTCAACAAGGATACAATTGTCAATGTAGCTAGTAGACAAACAGTGCACATGTTTTATTTTAAGTGTAATGTAATCAATCTTAATGTAATAACAATGATAAAACAAAAGATAAGATGAAGCAAGTGTTGGAAATTTGCAATAATAATGTAATAAGAGTTAGTGAAGAGTAGTGTTAAATTAGCAAAATCAAGAAATGTATATTGTTGTAGGTATATATTAAATGATAGGGAGTGAGAGAGAAAGAGAAATGAGGACAGTGAGGGGGAGCCAGCTACCTTGGTATGGTGATGCACTTGGTATCTTGGTTTTGCGTTGTAATGGCTTTCTCAAGCTCGTCCAATCCGGTGGACTTTTTGAGCTTTTTAACGAGGCTCTTGACGGCCTTCTCGCTCCATTTATCTTCACCCTCAGCCTTTTTCCAACCCAGCAGCCGCTTCACGATTGGCGGATTAAAGCTGGGCAGCATCGAAGTCATCATTTGACGTAAGCGGCTTGCAGTAGCAGCAGCCCGCGAGCCGCATCGGGCCGGCCTTGTCTCTTGCCTTAACCCCAAATTTCGTGCACTATGACAACTGACCCTCTGCACACACGCGCACGAGCACTAGGTCTCTCATTCGTTTGTATCTCCTCGTGTCCTGTTGCCTTTCTCCTGTCGCCGGGCTAACAAACAGCACAATTCACGATCGGCTGTGGGTCAGCTCAGATTCGCAGCCTCACCTCCGCACTACACGACAGATCTGCGCTGATCGCTACCTGGGCAGGAGAGATCCGTCTGCGTACCGTTGGAGCCGAAACCGGGCTTCGTATATACCACCGCCAAAAACAGCGGCTGCTCAGCTCTACTTGGTGGTCCGAGCTATACCGTCGTACGTGGTCTGCTCGGTGCTGAGTGCTGCTGCTGTTCACAGCAAACCACCACGAGATATTCAACTTGGATCTACTACTGGACAAGTCAGTTCGGACTGCGTGAACAACGCTCGTTAATAACACCACAACACTTCAATGATTTCAAAAGCTAAATCTCCTCGCTCGCAAGGGCAGCGAGTACCCAAGCAGTTCAACACGGGCGGCCAAAACTTTGCACGGCCGCCATCTTATTCCGAGAGATCCACGACCGCCGAGCTCGGCTCCTCTCGCTCATCTTCGGTTTTTTACGTTTTTTTTATAGGTCCATGCCGCTCTGCTACTGCGCCTATTTTGTAAACTCATATATGACAGGACGTTACAGATAAATACCATATGCGGAAAAAGTTTATATTATTGAAAGCTTTTTTGAAATTTTAAAATGAAAAAAATTTAATATACAATTCAGTTACCTCTTTATTTTATGACATTAATCAAATTTTATTTCACTTTGTGTTAGACTTGGAATCTGGTAATAACATTAAAAAATCTAATTTAGTTGATAAAATTTTTAATTAGATATTTAAAAAGGATTTAAATAATAATTTCATTTTCTATACAGATGCTTAAAAAAATGAATGGTGGATTTGGTTATGCTTATTCTCCTAGCTGGAAGTATGATCTTATAAAAAAGTAAATTATAGAAAATTATGAAGTATTGTTCGATTTTCAAAGTTGATGCAATGGCTTTCAAAGAATCCTTTAAATTCAAAAGAGATATTAATAACCATGTTTCAGACAATATTTTTTTGATTCCAAGTGTTCTTATGGCTCTCAATTTAAATATATCACATCGAATACTTAATATTGGAAAATTATTACTTCAAGCTTATCTTAAAAGTTCATTAGTCAAAATTATATGGATTCCATCTCATTTAGGAATGCAAGGTAATGAAAATGTCAATTTTGTAACCAATGAAGTTAGAAAAGACTACTTTATCCGAGTTACTAGTTCTGTTATCTGATATATGTATATATATAAATTTTAGAAATTTGCCGTAATAAAATAAAACAGTTTTTACAAAATTTTAGATTTAAAACTGGTTTATTTACTTCAAAAAATTTCCCTCCTACAATATTGAATATTGGTGTAACAATTATGGCCTCTCCAGATTGAATAAATTGATCTATTATCTAACAAAAAGCAAATATTAAATTTGAATCTTGAAGATCAGTCTTACTTAAATATTTACAAAATTTAAAATTGAAAATGCCTTTCCCCTTTCCCCTATGATAAAATAAACATTTTGAAATGTACTATTCAACGTCTTCTAACTTTATAACTAGTATTTTCTAAAGCATGCAATTTATAATTTAATTACAAATTCTTTATACTTATATCATTTCTAATGTTATTTAATTTCCTACTTTTCTATCCTTTTTCAATAATTTTTTTTTTTTCACTTTTCCTTTTTTCTTTTTATTTTTATTTAACTGGAGGTGTAAAAGGAAAATGAAAAGAAAAAATACAATTTGAATGAAATTCTATACACTACCACCATCTATGTGATAACATATCTATGTATAAATAATGGTTCAAACTAGCTTATTAGGTAAAAATTTCTATCAAGAAATAAGGTAAATAAGCCGTATAAACATAAAAAAGAAAAAAATTCCCTCAAATCAAACATTCTCTCTCTCTCTCTCTCTCTCTCTCTCTCTGAATATGTTATGTATGTACACCCAACGTGGATTGAATCGCGACCCCCCCCAGTTAGGTTGGTATGAGACTATGAGTGCTACTTTCAGTCCGTAACGGTGGTTTTCAGATCGGTCATAGTATAGCTCTCGTTCTTAAATTATATAATTAAAACCTAAAATCAAATAATCATGCATCTAAATTCATTATTCGGTAAACAATTAATTTTAAACCTAAAAACAAATTAGTAACGTTTTAGCTTTTTATCGTATCTTAAAACGAATTTTCATTTTTGAATTTTCCCGCGGTTTCTTCGTTCAATGCAACGACGGAATTCTCATACCAACCTAACTGGGGGGGGTCGCGATTCAATCCACGTTGGGTGTACATACACATATTTATAGTATATCCGCACTTCATGTGTGTAAACTATTCTACTGCATGTTCTTTATATTTACTAAAAATCACAAAGGGTTGCTATAATGGTTGTCTTGTCCGAGGAATGAATAAACACATGTTCCTTGTAAGTAATTGAATCACTACTTACACTATGCTACCATTTTAATCAAATTCAAATTCAGCTCCAGTCACGAACCATATTGCCGCGCAGGTGGGCATATATCACACTATCTCATTTGTGATGAGTTTGAGAACACATTTGTCCAATTATTTTTGAATGAAGCGCGAAAACCGTTGTAATTTACGAAGCCATCTTGTGCTATAGAAGTTAACGGATACTAGAATATTGTTTATAGTAATCACAAAAATTTGTACGCTCATTTTACTCAAAAGTTTAATGTAATATTATCTAATGGGACAAAATGTGCTTAAACTTATTTATTACTTTCATTTACTTAAATGTTTAAATGCTTTGTCAATTTCATATACTTATTGTTTTTAGAACTTACAAGAGGAATTGGAAGTTTTGCGAAAGGTACATAAACAAATTCAGCATCTTCTTGCTCTGGTCAGCTTATTCAAATCTGATTTGGAAAAAATAAGTGACAATTACTACACTTTTTTGAGTGAGTATTAGCAGTAGGCTGTTCTAAAATTATATATATGCAATATTATAAGTTTATAAATAATGAAGAAGAATGAAAGCTTATGTAAAAATGTTATTTTGTAGGTTCTTAATCATAAACGTCTGCAGAAATGTCTGGACTTGCTAGAAAGAGTCTTGGAGCAGTACGCTTTGACTTAGAGAATCAGAATTCTCCTTCCACAACAATATCTCCATCACGACGACGACGATCCATAGCAGCTCAAAAAGTGAATGAACCAAATATCGAAGAAAATGATGACGAAGCAGAAAGACTGGCGAGAAGAGAACGAAATGAAAATGGCAGTCCTGCGTCAACACCTATTGCAGGTGGTGATCGTAGACAGTCTACTTTTGGTTTATCAGCTATATCCAATGTATCTGTTGCTGAAATGAATAACCAAATTGCCCAGTGTATAAAATTAAATGCAGAAAACAAGATTAATGATAAAAATGCTTTTCAGCTGAAAATGATAGACTTTTTAGTTTATGCATTGAAAAAGCAAGACCCAAATATGACAAATTTACAAATGGCTAGTGCATCTTTGGATGCAAGTGCTAAAATTTATGGGTTTCGTGTTGATAAAGTTCACTCTGATTTATTAAAAATTATAGGTATGGTTAAACAAGATAAAAGAGATCAAGATGAAAATAACGATGCTCAAAATGCAGATCAGTCAAATGCAAATAAGAATGAAGGCCAACAAAAGAAGAAGAAGAAGAAGAACAGACAACATATAATTTCTACAGTTGAAGCACTTAAAGGAAATGTTGAAAATTATGATCCTTTGTCTTTAATAAGATGTCAAAGAGATACTCAGACTTCAGACATGCTTTTCCAAGCTGGTCTTCCTCAGCATGCTAATCAAGGGGTGGCCTTGAATTTATATAATGATATTCTACTTGACAAAGTTGTTGAAAGTAACATAGAAAAATCATCAAAAATGTCTATTTGTAATATTGAAGATTATACTGTTCTAAATATCTGTCCATCATATGCAGCATTTAAATTTTTGGATTGGTCTCCAGATGATGAGGTGGAAGAACCAAAAAGTCAGGCAGATGAGAATGATGGAGAATATCACTTTGACCTTGATGCAGCTGTACCTGATGATGATGTCATGGAAAATGATGTTATGATGGACTGTGGAGATGCATATGAGGAAAGATGTGATCGTTTAGCACAAAACAATCACAACTTTGAAAACATAGTTGATTTTCAAGAAATCATAGCAAATAATCCGAATCCTAATGCTACATATGAGTACTCATATTTGCAGAAAAGTTATAAAATTCATTGGGCAGGTCCATCTCATTGGAAAATTACTCTAAATAAGAATCTTCAAGGTAGCAGAGTAGTAGAAACATGTAAACAGAATGCAACAAAAAAGAAAAAAGAAATTGAATTGTCATTTACAATTGATTCAAAAGAAGAAGGAAAACTTAAGTTCAGTCAAATAAATAGACATACAAAAATATTGGGAAAAACAACCAAAGTTATATGGTCAGAAGATAAAGTAACTTTTCCTGAAGATATTCATTATGATCTAAAACGTTATTATATATTCTTTAATAAACCAACTGAACATTTAAAATTCACTAGCAACGAAAGATTAGAAGAATTACCGTCCCCCAATGATGACGACAATTTTGATAGCAATGGCGATCATGATTTAGCCAACTTTGCTGAACCAGATGGAGGATATTTTGGAGATAATAATGATGATGAAAGATTCACTCAGAATCCAGGATTTACTCAAGAAACCACTTTAGCTCAAAGCCAAGGAGCATTTGTGGGTGATAATCTTGTCTCAGTTCCTAAACTAACTGACAAAGTTTTCATCCCATATTCTCAGAGAGCTAAAAAAATTGATATGCGACAACTTAAGAAAACCATGTGGAAAAATTTGAAAAAATCGTCAAAAGAAAAAGAGAAAGAAAACTTCAACATTACTCAGACATACACTCAGCAAGAAAATGAGCAAAACAAAGAAATAGAACCAAAAGTATTCAGTGATATGTACATGGAATTACCGAAAATGTTATCTAAAGCAAATGCTGACTCTTTAAGCCCAGCTATAGCATTTGTGTCACTTCTTCACTTAGCTAATGAAAAAAATTTAGCAATAGAGCGAGATACAGTTCTAGCTAATTTTGTTATTAATAGTGGTAAAAATGAAACAATAGCAGCCTAAGTTATTTATGTTATTTAAGTTAATTTTATACAGAGTTATAACAATTTTGAATAAGCAGAATAAAAAATTAAACATTATTTAATGTGTTTCTCAGAGGAAAAGTAAATCTATGCTTATATTTCAAATACTATCTAAATCATGACATTTCCAGATAAACTTTAATTTATTGTCCACTAATTTGTCAAGTAATATTTTTGTAAATAAATAACAATAAAATATTTATAGTGCTCAATAAATTATATTATTTTTGACACGTTTCAAAATACTTCAAAATAATTGTTCGAAGCATACTATAAAATAAAAAATTTGAAAAGTTGCATGAATATTGCTAGAATGGTTTCATGGATCTTGTGTTATATATATATATACAATTTTACGTCTACATTTGTGCAGGTGCGTATACGTATGCCTATTCAGCAAACAATTCTATATAGTAGAATATTTTATATAAATTGACTAATTTTGAAATCGCTTAATATTTTATGTGAGCATGGGAAGAAACTAATTTTATAATTCAATCTGCCATGTAGATACGACTTAGAAACTTTTTTATAAAATTATGTTTTTCGCTCTATTTATTAAAAAATAATCGTTGTTTTATCTGAACTAGATTTTATAATTAGTTATAAAAAATTTGATATTAAAATGCGTATTATTGCAATAAATTCTGTATATAATTAGGCTTTATAAATCTGTCATTGATGTCATAAAAAAAATTCAACTCAAATGAACTTTGAAAAATAATAATCGCAGTTTTTTAAAACACGTAATTGTTCAGGTTCGAATGAAAAATTTGAATCCCGTGTAGAATTACTTTTTATTTTTTAACAGTTATAAATCATAGCTGCGAAATAATTTAACTTGTTCATTCAGTTTTGAGAAAATTTAATGATTTATAAATATATTTTTCTATTACCTAATTACAGTACTTTATAAAGTTCATACAGTGCTACATCTTAAATGGGAAGGAAAAGAAAGAAAATAGTAACAATATTTCAATTGATTCTTATTTAAGCATAACGATTTTATATGCTAAAATTTTACAAGATTATATTATGCCTTACCCTAATATTAACAAAATCTATTATACTAGAGAAATAGCGTTAATCGTAAAATTCGTTTCTTTTATTAAAAACTATAACAATTTCATTGTTGAATATTAGCATCATCAAAGCATACATGATGTTTTATTATCGTATTATGCAAAAAATAAAATAATGTTTATTTATTATAAAACACAGTCAACAATATAACAATAAACAGAATAAAAATGATTTTATACGATCGAATTTTTATTATAAAAATCTACTATGTACAAACAATTTTTACGTTCATAATCGATTCATGCTATGCATTTGATTAACATTATATTTAATTTAAATTGAATTGAAAAATTCTCCTAAAGAACAATTTGTGTTTTTAGTTTTAATCTTATTCTGTTAATTTTATTGAAATGAATTAAATAGTACAAAATAAGAACAAAACATTGAACGCAGCAAACTTATCACCGCAAAAAATCATTGATTGAATATATTTTAAGTTTTATGAATGAATTATTGTCAGGGGGCTTTCAAATGTACAGATTATTAATTTTTACATGCAATTATGTGAAGAATGTAAAATTTTTAGACCAATAAATATTACATGATATAATAGACTATCTCATCAATCAATTATGTGTAATCTCTTTGAAACTAAATAAATATATATTAAAGTTAATTTGAACTTGCAACTTGAAACATTCAATTGATTGTTTGATTGATAACTTTCAATTCACGAAAGTTCGAATCCCGTGTTACTTGTAACTGCATAACGCAACTTTTCTCTCAATGTATTTTTTTTCTGGTAATTAGGAAGCTTTAATAAATTGAAACAAGTTGAGGAGGTTGGCAAGCGATTTTGTGGATCCTTTTTACGAATAGTGAAAAATCCTCTGATCACACTACCTATTGTATCTCCAACATCTTCGTCATCTCCAACTTCAACACATCTTATCGAAAACGGTGGTTCCAGATGAGCGAAGCCCAGTAGTGGTGATTTTGAGCAACTTGTCACAAATTTCAAAAAGAGAGCCTTCTCTGTTTCTGAAAAATCGTTTTCAAGAATATCCCAAAGCCAACATATGATTTTATGTTTATCATGAAATCCTCCATAGTACTGAGTATGTCTTCTTAAATCACGGAAATCAAGTGGAGAATTGTCTCCGGAAATTAATTTTTGCCATTCTGGTGTAGAAAATAACGGTAGCCACTCAGGATTTATTATCGAGCGAAAACCTCTAGTAAACGCTGCTATCTGCTCTTTTATTTGTACATACATTCGAAATCCGGCCATCAGATGAATGTAATTAATTTTATTCTCATTCGTCACTGGAATAGCTTTTCCTCCTGGTTTCAGCTCGTATGTAACAATCTTACCCATGACGTTATCGTCTACCGAAAAACTTAGTTCTAAATCACTGATATCACCTTTATGGCGTTTCACCATTGTTAAACTTCTGTATAATTCTTGATCTAATGAAGCTAACTCATCTAACCAACTATACATTACACCCCCAGATTGTCCGCAAAATTGAGAAACAAAAAACGACGCAAATGGCACATCAACAACAATACCTTCATACACAGCCTTGCCAAGCATACGTCCAACAAATTCAAAAAGCAAAAGATGATTATCTTGTACTGAAGAAGTGTATGACGGGTATAAGCGATTATCACTTGTCATGCTAAACAAATTAAGAGAGGGATTGAATACTTTTTTTATTGTTTCTTCTAAAAACTCTTTGAACACACCATCTTGGTCAATACCAGCTTCATCTAGGCCTTGCTCATTGACGAATCTAACTCTTATGATGCTTTTTAAAGCCTTTGGAGATAAGATGGACAACTGTCTATATCCATCTTCAATAATTCTTGATCGGTGAACAGTAATTAATGTTGATAATGAATTACTGTATATATTCTCTGTTAATCCAATAGCAATTTTCTCTTCTGATATATATTTCCTAAATAACAGTAATCTTTCAGAGTGTGGCAGAATGTGAGGCATTTTTGATAAAATAAGTACTGCAACTGGTTTTTTCTTTTCTAGATCTGTTAAAAATGATGAAAGACGTATTTCTTTGATCAACCAATGGTCATCTTTGCAAAATTTTTTCTGACAATCTCGACGATAAATACTCATTAGCAAAGTGTGCATTGAAATGAATAAGACATTTTGATCTGCACATTCAGTATTGAATAAATTACTTGACATTGCTTTAAATAAAAAATGATTGAGGAAGTATGACATTTGAACAAAATCAATAAGTTTGAATGGATCTTGTTGCTCGTACATCTCTATATCATCTAAAACAGTGATATATCGAGTCATACAATCACAGAATAACATCAACATTTGAAATTCAGAGCTTGTGCATTCAGGATTTTTTGAAAGATGGTCTATGAAAGCTTTCAATCCACAATGAGGCCCTAAAGTTCCAAAAAATATCCATAAGTTATGTAGAATATTTTTATCTTCATAACTTAATCCTGAGAATATAGCAGACTTCATTTCTCTTAATGTAGTTACAGCTGTGTAATACAAGGAACAAATCAAAGATATCTTTTTGACTTCTATATTATCAAATTTACGATAAAATTTTTTATTCTGTTGATTTATTCGAAATTCTGAGAAAGTCTGTCGAAAGATATTTTTAGAACAGGTTTGATGTAGATCAAGTTTCTTCAAAGATTCACGTTCTATTAGATCACTAAGTGGGTCACAGATAAGAAAAGTCAAAATTTTTCCTGTCCATAAATAAGATAACTGTATTTTTAGTATGTCCATAGTAACTTGAAGTGATTGATCTTCAGGCTGCTTAAACCATCCAAGAATTGGATGCCAATATGTTGTATTACTTTTCTTAGCAACTACATATTGTTGACAAAATTTAAGCAATTTAGTTGTAATATCTATAAAATTAGAAATGTAATAACTGCAAAATTTTTCAGTATCAATTTGTGCTAATTCTACTAAATTAGCCAACAAACAAAGTGTGTAATTTCCTTCCAGTGCATCAAATACACTTTCCAAATTTCTATCAAGTTTTAAAACGTCAATAATTTTATTAAATATGTTATGCTGCTTAAACAATTGAATACTCAAAGAATTATCTTTCTTATTTAAATGATAAATTAGCCCTGGGATACTAAATACATGAATCATGTACATCAACATTAATTTTTCTGATTGCTTTGATAATATCAATGGTCTAATAGTAAGTGTTGTTATAGCAGTCAATGCAACGTCATGTAATGTAACTGTATTTCTACATAAACCTTTGATTAGAAGTCCTTTTATTATATAATAAAAATTTTGATTAATCAAGCATCCTACGATATTTGAACAAACTTGATTCATTCCGGTTTCAAGTCTTTCCATGCCAGAAGCTTTCATAACATTCCAAGTTTTTATAGATGTAAAACTGATCAATGTATGCAATCTAAGCAAAATTGACTTGTAATCTATAGTTTGTTCAGGATTCAAATTTTGCATTTCAGTAAGACAACAGCAAAGAATTTTTTTGATTTGAGATAACCAGAGAAGATGTCTATCTTTACTTAAAGCAACTCCAATGTATGAGTACACGTGTGATTCTGAATCAAGAGACTGAATGATGTATCTGCACATTATTTCTATACGCTTTTGATCTTTCTCCTTTCTGTAGACAGATAGAAATTTTTGTAATACATCAAAAATTTGTGTTGCAGGTTTCAATTCAAATGCACCATTAGGTTTTGTTATACTATGGAAGGAAATATCGAATTGCTCCAATACTTCTGAGGTTAAACGACGATGACTTAACCAATTTCTGACCCTTCTTTGAATACAACAAGCTGCATACTCTCGATCTTTTTCATTGGCACGTTCTTTTCTTGCATTTTTCATTTGTTGAAGAAAATAATCTTTTGACAACTTATTTGTTTCAAACATGTCAAAAATATTTATTTATTATGATTATTAAAAAAACTTGTTTTATACGTATAAATAATATCACTTTATATTTACATTGCTGATGTTTACTTCTCGGTTCAAAGTTCAAATTTCACGAATCCGAAAGCCAAGATGGACCAAGCTACCTCCCCAGATAACATAGTGTCGGCAAAATGCTGTCACAATGTTGGCACGGCAACATTTGGCAACACGGCAAACAAGGCAAAAAATTGAACCTTTGCTCGTTTTAATTGCACCCCTCTCACTTTTTCAAAATTATTAATATATATGTCAAAAACAACAATCTAACTTTATTGTATGTTCTTTTCAAATAGATTATTGAGTTATTGGGTTATTTGGAAAGAACATAAAATAAAGTTAGATTGTTGTTTTTGACATATATATTAATAATTTTGAAAAAGTGAGAGGGGTGCAATTAAAACGAGCAAAGGTTCAATTTTTTGCCTTGTTTCTTTTGCAAAAATATTAAGTATTACTAAAGATATCGCAGTTGCAAAAAACGAAAAAATCATCATAGTTTTTAATTTTTTTTGGGACAACTGAAGGGGTTCAATTAAAATATTGAGCATTTTTGGAGGGTTCAATTAGAGATGTTTCGAATGGTATTTTTTTTTTCACTGTCCATTACACTTTGCAGGCTAGGGTAAGGGGGGTGGAAAATGTTGTTCGGCACGGCTTGCACAGGACTGTGAAGATGGCCCCCGGGTTTTTATGGGAAATTGCTAGCGAAAATGGGAAAACGGCATTAATTCCGCTAATTGTCCCTGATACTCGTAGTAATTTCCCATTTTCGATTAGTCAACGGGAAATGGGTGAAAATTGGCATTTTCTCCTGGCACCGGAAGTGGCCTCTTTCTCTCATAATTGTTGTTGAATAATTACGATTGATGTCTTGAAATTAAGATTTCAATATCCCCCGTCGTCCCCCGTATTCGTATTTATGCTAAATGTTACTCATTTTAAATAAAAATTGTTAATAACTTTGATGCTTTGAATGGCGGGAAATCGGTGTCAGTCCGTATTTCTGCGTTCCGTGATCCAGATACCACAGCTGGTGGTATTTTCTATACTTCAATAAGTATTGAAGTATTTTCTATACTTCAATAAGTACTTTGTGATGTTCGTATCACTTATAAATAAAAATAATTCGAACTCTTGTAATGTAGCTAATGAGTAAGAATTTGTTTCCGATGATTTTACTCTAATTGTCAAGAGAATAAATAAATGAAACAAATATAATAAGTAAGTAAATCAAATATATATAAGTAATTGCGATATATCGAGGAAAGTTAGACAATGCCCTAGTTTCTTATGGTGCGAATTGTCCCATAAGCAGAGCTAAAGTCTTTCTTTGATAGGATATAATTCGGCCCAAGTTTCTTATAGCGCGAGATGTTCTATAAGTCGAGCTCAAATTATAAGGAAAGGTTAGTCTTGCTTAGTAAATCACAATGAGAGAAAGAACTTAGGTGTTAATCCAAGTTTATTCAAACTCATGCGCTCACTTTGCAAGGCTAGAAGTGAATGAATCCTAGCCTGTGCAAAGGTGGGCCTATTTATACACAGATTTTCCCGCTTATTATTGCAAGAGAGATTTCATCGAAAATTCGAGAGACATTCGCGAATTTTGAGAAATGATTTTTCTTCATTTACAAGTAAATAACCATTAATATTAAATTTTTAACACATGTAAATTTTACAGAATTAGTTATTTGTTGATTTTATACAATATACAATTATCGCCAATAGTGTCGTCAAAAGTTATTAACTAATAAAGTTAATTAACGTGATATTACATTATTTACAATAGAAAATTATTAAAATTTCATATAACTTTATAGTTGATTAATTTTGGAAGTATTTTCCAAAATTAATTATTTAAATTAATTAATAACATTTGAATTATGACTAATTTTTCATATTTGTAACGGTTTTCTTCTAATCTTAATATGCGATTATTAGATTTATTATCTAAGATTTCTAAATCGTAAAGTTATCATTATCAAGTATTAACTTAATATTTCCGTTCTATATATAGCTTATTGTTTAAATAAATTATTAATTGTTTATTTATTAATAACAGTTGTTATTTAGCTGTTATTAATGAAACTAATTCTTACTCATGTTCTATGCTTATTCATTTTACATATAAATTATTTATATTTTTCTAATATTTCATATGTTAATAAATAAATTAACTTTACATATCGATATTCATTATAAATTTATAATTAAATGAGATATTGTGAATCTGTATGTTAAAATCTATATAATTGATACTTTGTTATATTCAAATTATCTATAATTAACATATTTTTCTCAATATTATGGTTCATTATATCTATGTCTATTATTTGTGACGTCACGCTATTTGTTTTGACTCGACTCTTATTTGTATACAGTCGCGTAAACAGTGAGGTAGCGCTGCTTAATGTATTGTTTTGACTAACAGATAAATACGTTAGACTAGTTGCGGTCATTTAATAAACAGCTCATAAATAGGACCGTTACAACTTCAATATATTGAAGTATTTTTATAATATGCTACAATGGATTATTACTTTATATTGTTAAGAATAATGGAAGTAAAATTAAGTTCGTTATTAAATAATTCAACAAATATAAAACTAAGCTATAAGTTTTTGATCAATGATTGTTTTTTTTCAATTTTAACTAGTCAATTCAATTTTTTTATTACTTTGTTCAGAATTATGTTATTTTATATACTTAAAATATTAATTATAAAATTGGCATGTTGACAAACTTATAGAAAACCTTAGAAAAAATTATTTATGTATATGTACATAAAATGTGAATGGTTAATTGAGTAGAATTTGAATTACTTATTATTATAATTACGCAATGTAGAACTCATATAGGGATATCTGGTGATTAGCAAACGTTTGACCTGTTTTATCGACTAACTGCCGCATATTACTAATTTTTACTTTTTCCTCAATTTTGGATAGAATATCGACAAAAGGAAAATTGTTTAAACGAAAACATGGCTTATGAGGTTAACTGTACAAGAAAGTATTATTATCAGATTAGGTATTATTATTGTTTAAGAGCAGACGACTCTAACAAGTGTCCAGTACATGTATGCGACACCAGCTGTGTTATCTGGATCACGGAACGCAGAAATACGGACTGACACCGATTTCCCGCCATTCAAAGCATCAAAGTTATGAACAATTTTTATTTAAAATGAGTAACATTTAGCATAAATGCGAATACGGGGGACGACGGGGGATATTGAAATCTTAATTTTAAGCCATCAATCGTAATTATTCAACAACAATTATTAGAGAAAGAGGCCACTTCCGGTGCCAGGAGAAAATGCCAATTTTCACCCATTTCCCGTTGACTAATCGAAAATGGGAAATTACTACGAGTATCAGGGACAATTAGCGGAATTAATGCCGTTTTCCGATTTTCGCTAGCAATTTCCCATAAAAACCCGGGGGCCATCTTCACAGTCCTGTCGTGTGGCGGTCGCGCCAAGCTTACAACAGCGGCCACAAGAGGTCAGCACTCCGCAGTCGTCGGCAACAAGGCGGCGCAAGCAAGCGCTCGTTCCCCGCAGCGAATTCCAGTAGCGGCAGTCCTTCTCTCACTGGCGTGCGAGGCAGTTGGTAACGCCTTGCCAGCTCCTCGTTGGCAACCACTCAGTTGCTGTAGCGCTAGGAGAGAACCTCAACGAAATTCACATTTGAATTCCGCTAGCTCAGTGAATCAAAACAACAAGTAAACAGTGTAAATAAAGATTACATCAATCTACTGTAGTCAAGTGAAATAAAGTTCTATCTTAAACTAAATAAATCAAGGAGTCAAATCATTTCTTAGCGTGCGAATCAACCTTCTCCACATTGGTGACCCCGCGTTTCAAGAAAAGAAGAAAAGTGGCATTGCAAAAAGTGTGTGAAAATATAATTACAAAAATTCGGTATAGTTTTTCAACGACCTTGCTGTGGAATGCAAACAACTCAAAAAGAAAATTCAGCAACTCCGGGTACTAGCGGCCATTCCGGAAATTCCTCTGTGCCGCGAGAAGACACACCGGCGTGGGACAACAGTGTCGACCTTGACGCTACTATAAACATCCCAGAGATAAACAGCCCACATTCCAGCAGTTTCGAACTACAAACTCAGCGACGGAATCCGAGACACATTCCTCACGAGAATCTTCAACCTCGCACTCTCAATTTTAATTCTGCAAACAATGAGGCAGCAGGTATGACTGACATGCACTCCGAAGCTAGCAGCATAGCTGCAATATCGGCATGTAAGCTTTTGCCATTCTGGGCTGAAGAACCTGAGCTCTGGTTCGCAAAAACCGAATCGGCATTTCAAGTAAGTCGTATTAGATCAGATGAATCTAAATATCATTTAACCATTGGTGTCCTTGACACGCGTGCGCTAAGAGAAATATCCGACATTTTAAAAGCAGAACCTGAGCATAATAAATATGAGCTATTAAAAACACGACTAATAGAGCGGTTTGGCTCAACAGCTGACAAAAAGTTAGAGACCTTATTGACACGTCTCGACCTTGGTGACAAAAAGCCATCACAATTGTACAGGCAAATGGTTGACCTTGCTGGAGCCAACGCAACTGAAGACTTAGTTAAAGTAAAATGGCTCGGTATGCTGCCGCGCCATGCGCAAAGTATTTTAAAAATTTTTAAAGCAAGCACAACTGATGAGCTGCTCGACGCTGCTGATACCATAGTCGACACGCCGATAGCACCGTCCGTATTCGCGATGGAATCAACTAACCCCGCGATTGTCGGACAGGACCGCGCATCAGACTTAGCTGAAATAAAATCCCTCCTGCTACAATTAATTAAAACTACTCGTGATTTATCAACTCACGTAGTCGAAGCTAGTGCCCAACCACGTCAATCACGACCAGCCTCTCGGCAAGCAGGAGCTTTCAATCGAAATCGCTCGAATTCTAAGTCTAGGCTTCACGTAAATGGCACGTGCTACTATCACCACAGGTTTGGCGAGGCATCCATTCGCTGCAACCGCCCCTGCAACTACTTTAGCAACCAGATC